GCAAATAAACGTGGACGATATTCAGATCAAGTATCTGATGTTCATGTACGAAATATAAAATGGACAATAGAAAATCCTAAACAATTTGTTGATGAACATAAATCACAACCACCATTAGATGCTATTGTTGAATTTGTACGTGATGGAAATACTGTACGTTGCCTTCTTTTACCATCATATTATTTAGTAACACTACAAATAACGGGTATTAAATGTCCTATATCAAAACGTGAAGGTAGTTCAATAAATGAAACCAGTGAACCTTTTGCTGAAGAAGCTAAACAATTTGTTGATACACGTTTATTACAACGACAAGTTAAAGTTATTCTAGATGGAGTTAATAATCAAAATTTAGTTGGAACATTATTACATCCAAATGGAAATATTGCATTACATCTATTAAAAGAAGGTTTAGCTAAATGTGTTGATTGGAGTTTAACTTTATTACAACAAGGATGGAGAGAAAAATATCGTGCTACAGAAAAATATGCTAAAGATAATCGATTAAAAATTTGGAAAAATTATGTTCCACAACCAGGTCATGCTGATAATGAAAATAATCTTAGTAGTGATACAAATTCGACTGCAAGTAATGGAAAACCTAGTGATCCAACATTGAAAGGATATCAGGTAAATTTGATTAATATTTTTCAACTTTTTCTAATTTACATTACAATAAAAATGAATGATACAATTTTAATCTATTTATAATTTATTTCATTTTTCAGGCTAAAGTTTTGGAAGTAATCAACGGTGATGCTTTAACTATTCGTGATTTACGTGATAATTCAATCAAAAAAATCTATCTGTCATCAGTTCGTGCACCACGTGCTGCTGATATTCAACAAAAAAATGATGAAAACAATCCAAATGCAAATCGTCAACAAATAAGACGGCCCCTTTATGAAATTCCATATTTATTTGATGCCCGTGAATTATTACGTAAACGTTTAACTGGTAAAGTTGTACGTGTTGTTACTGATTATATTCAACCAGCAAGTAGTGAATATCCAGAAAAAATTTGTTGCAGTGTTTATGCTGGTAATGTTAATCTTGGTGAAGCTTTAATTTCAAAAGGTTTAGCAAAAGCTGTACGACATCGACAAGATGATGAACAACGATCATCTCATTATGGTAAATTATATTTTTTCTTAATAATTGATTTATATAAATTAAATTTTTGTCTTTTTTATTTTTCATTAGATGATCTTCTTACTGCTGAACAACAAGCAGAAAAACGTGGTCTTGGATTATTTTCAACTGCTAGTGGTCTTCATCGTATTGTTGATATGACTGGAGATACAAATAAAGAACGAGCTAAAGGTTTATTAAGTGTTCTTCAACGTAATGGTCGTATGGAAGGTGTTGTTGAATTTGTTGCAAGTGGTTCTCGTTTTCGTATACATTTATTAAAAGATAATTGGATTATATCATTTTTATTATCATCAATTAATTGTCCACGTGCTGAACGACGTGTTCCTGTGAGTGGAAATCCTCAACAACAAAAAGTTGAACCGGGTGAACCATTTGGTGCTGAAGCATTAACATTTTCAAAAGAACATTTCTTACAACGGTAGATTAAAATTTCTAATAAATCGGAAATATATTTATCCGATTAATTAAATCAAAAAAAAAAAACTTACCTCGATTTTCTTCTTCTCTAGAGATGTTTTTGTTGAAGTTGAAAATATGGATCGTGGTGGTAACTTTATTGGTCGTTTAACAACTGCTGATGGACATTCAGCTGCTCTTATGCTTGTTCAATCTGGTCTTGCTAAAGTTCATGATTCAGCATATGGTGCACCAAATTATAAACAATTATTAGAAGCTGAAGAAAAATGTCGAAAAGAACGTACTGGTGTTTGGACTAATTATGAAGAACCTACATCAAAAGATGAGGATGAAAATGAAGGTGAAAATAATCCTGAAGGTAATCTTTGTTCCTTTTTTATTTTTTGAATTATTCAAAAAAATCATTTTTTTTTTTTGTAAATTCTTTGGTACATCAGAGGAAGTTGTATTAGGATCAGGTATAATTAATTTTAATGATCCAAGATTTCGTCGTGTTGTTGTTACTCATGTAACAACGGATTTAAAAGTTTATGTGCAATATTCTGAACAAGGATCTAAAGTTGAACAATTACAATCTGAATTACGTGAAATATTTAATCAAACTAGACCTGTTGGTGGACATACACCGAAAAAAGGTGAATTATTAGCTGCACGTTTTGCAGCTGACAATGAATGGTATCGTGCACGAGTTGAAAAAATTGAAGGAAACAATCGTATATCAGTTTATTTTGTCGATTATGGTAATCGAGAATTAATTACTGATTTAGGTCGACTGACAACATTACCACCAGGTATGTATTTTTTTGAGTTTTTCTTTTCAATTAACATTAAAAAAATGATATGATTTCATTTTGATAGATAGGAAAAGATTATCTAGCTAAGTTTGAACTCATAAATTCTTGAGAAAAAAAATCATACTAAGTCTCAACATGTTATAATCAAATATTCACAAAAACCGATTTTCGAAACTTGTTCTATTGCTAAAGCAGACTCTACATGATCGAAATTCGATATACTTTAGCATGTAACAATAGTATAGTTAACAGTCTCAAATGAATAATTGGTAACTCGCTGAATGTGTAAAGAATCTAAGATGACGACCGATTTTCTATGCTGTCGACATGTACTTATACTCAGAACAACTAGTTCTATTCAGAAAAACACTTGCTCTTGACGTATTCACCAACTAAAACAAGTCATACGAATAACATTAGACTGATAAGTCATTAAGAGCGAAATAATTTACGAAGGAACATTCCCAGGTGATCTGTGCCGTTTGTCTCTATATTTGGCTCATATATAGAAGATCACTAGACTAGTGTAACCTCCAAAGAATTCCTATTCGTGTTTAGAGTTGGCCATGATAGCAAATTTTCAGTTGATTCCTCTTGCCGGAGTCCAATTTTCGACTAAAATCATATTTGGAAATTGCAGCCTGAAACATTGTACACATGAAGTTTTCAATTAGACTACCTCATGCAAACTGTTTCATCAGTTTTGATTATCGCACTGCCAAAATATGACTTTCTCAATACATATCTATGTTACACAGCACTTAAAGAAAATCATAGATATATTGAGAAACTCATATCTTGACAATGCGATATTCAAAACTGATGAAACTTTATACATGAGATAGTCTAATCAAAAACATCATGTGTACCAAGTTTCAGGTCGAAATTCTCAAATATGATTTTTTTTCGAAAAATGAACTCCAACAAAAGAAAACTATTAAAAATTCGCGATTTCGACCAAATCTAAACATGAGCAGGAATTCTTTGGAGATTATGCTATTGCAGTGATCTGCAACAGTAGGGCAACATATGGAGTAAACAGAGCAGATTACCTGAAAATATTCCCCCGTTAGCTTTTTTCTTCTCTTCATTTGCAATTTTTTAAGTATTTCACAAAATAGATGCCTAGATATCTATTCTTACCCTTTGGTGTTTTATAGGTTTTTTACAATTACCAACTCAAGCTCATGAATGTGAATTAGCTTATGTTCGAGCTCCACCTGATGAAGATGATCGTCAATATGCTAAAAATGCTTTACTTGATGAAATGGACAATCAAGAATGTTTAATGAAAGTCGAATATCGTCAAAATAATGCTGAACATGTATCACTCTATCGTGCTAGTACAAAAGAAAACCTCGTCAAAATATTAGCCGAACAAGGTCTTATTGTTGTTGCACAAGGACGTGGTAATCGTCAATTACGTCTAACACCATTATATGAGGAATTACAACAAGCACAAGCAAAAGCAAAATCTTCACGTATTGGTCTTTGGCAATATTCGGATCAAATTGAAGATGATGCAACTGAATTTGGTTTTACAGGACGAAAATAAATATTTACAAAAAAAAAAAAACAAAAGATTTAATTTGATTGATTACAAATATTTACCATCAATTTTAGCTTCATTTCTTTTGTTTTTAAAAAAAATTCCATTGTTTTGTTTTCTTTTTATTTCTGTTTGACAATATATATACACACACATACATACATGCATACTTTTGGTTATAAATATATTTATTTATTTATTCTGTTTTTGCTTGTTTATTGTTCATGGAATGCTCAAGAGAATATCCATCTAATAACTTTGATCATCTTGTTATTATCGTTAATAGCTTTTCATTTTTTTTTAATGTATCTTGGGAATTTTTATTGTTTGTTGTGTGTATATGTATGAAAAACAGTTTTTGTTTGTTTTTGAAAGATTATTAAAAAGAAACTATTGATAAGGAATTTATGATACTCAGATTCTATTGATTATAATTCACTGATGATTGATACAAATTATGAATGAGAAATAAAACAAAAAAAGGGTTGTGCCTCACTAATTGGCTTGTCAATGAAATCAAAAAAAAACAAAATGCACATTCAAGTCATCAATTTCAAGGTCTAATCGTTTTTTTCTTTTTTGTCTGACAATATGAATGATTTGCCCAATAAAAAACCGTTACCTGAATACATAAACAACAAAAAGAAAAATCAAAGTTTTCTTTGTTATGAATTCTCGAAAAAGTTTCGTATGAGTTTTTTCTTTCGTTGACATCAGACACAAATGATCAATTGCTATACTTTTAGTATATTTATATCTTGATTTGTTCTTATCGTACATACTCATTGCTATCGGCGCTTTTTCGTCTCGCATTATGCATACTCAATCACTATGTCATCGTATTCCGTTCACTCTTAATATTATCTTTATGTACGTATGAATAACGATGTCGGTCTGCACAGATACACACTACTACACCAAATCGAAGTAATATAGAACAGGGACATAAAGCGAGCAAGCGAAGAAAAAAAGAAGAGAAACAAATAAAAAGAGGGATTCACTGTACACACACGTTTGCACTGTCATTTGTTCGTCCCACTATTTGTATCACTCATTCAATCATCGAATATTCAATCATATATAAAATGTTTTCTGCAACAAAGCCATCATATGGAGGAGCATCCAATTTTCATCAGGCTTTAGCATATGAAGCACGTCTTAATCGACTTCATCGTCTATTTAAAACGCATTTCAATGTCACTGAACCATCACTTATACTTGAACCATATTTATTTCTGGGCAATTGCATTTCGGCACAGGATATTCATCGTTTATCAAGATTAGGCATCCGTTATATCCTCAATGTAGCTAAACGTGATGTTGAATTATGTCCATATTATCCTAATGATGTGCGCACACTTACTATTGATCTTCGTGATGATGATCGGGAAAATATTTTACGTGCATTTGATCAAGCATTTGCGTTTATTGATGAAGCTAGACGTTCAAAATCTCGTATACTAGTTCATTGTAGTCATGGACAAAGGTAAGTAAATAAATCTCTAAATGAAAGCAACAAACAAATACAATTAAATGTTTTTTGTAATCATTTGTATAGTCGATCACCTGCTATTGTTATTGGTTATCTTATGCGTACATATAATGTTTCATTAGAACAATGCCTTACTCATGTTGTTAAAGCTCGTCCATGTGTTATACCTAATGATGGTTTTTTGAAACAATTAATTCTTTTTGATCGTTTTCTTAACGATCGTCGTCTAAAACAACAAGCAGCAGCTGCCATGCAGACTACCAAAAGAACATCACCAACTGAAATTCCAATTCAACATCATCCATCTGTTGCTTCTAAGTCTATGAAACCACCAATTCCACCGAAATTAACTCCAGCACAACATCCAACTGATCCAGTTTCTAATACTGCTAATATGTCATCAGTAAATTCAGCAAGTGTAGAATCATCAGCAAATTCAGCAAGTGTAGAGCCATCAGTAAATTCACCAAATGTAGTGTCATCATCAAAGTCAACTATAGATTTAGCATCAAAATCAACTATGGATCTAGCATCAAAATCAACTATGGGTTTAGCATCAAAATCAAGTATTCAATCCTCAGCAAGTACTAACTCAATACATGTCATACCAATTCAAATTGCATCAAAAGAATCAAGTCCAGACAAAGTAAATGAGTCACTTTCTCCTAACCTAATTTCTAAATCTTCTTTTTTTTATTATTATTTCTTAAGATTGAACTAACTCAATTAATAGAAGTGCCAACTGATGACCACACTAGCAGAAAAGATACACATAAGAATGGTAATCGTTTAGAAGCAAAAAACATAAAACAATCGCAAGCACCTAGCCCAAATAGACTTCCGACTTCATCGTCACATAATGTATTAGTAAATAAGAACCGATCAAGTAAAAAAAAGATAAACTTTATTAAACCAGTTCCAACGCAAATATCACGATCTAAAACAGACGATTTTGCCCGTTCGCATGGCAATCATTATTCGCATGTCAATCATTATCATAATCATCCTTCGGCTACTCTTACTCCAGAACAATGGAACATTATTAATAATATGCCTCCAACTTATTATAATTCCAATCCATATAAAAAAACAAATTATATAACTGAAATTTATGATAGAGCAACAAGACGATTTATTCCAACTGCATATTGTTGTTAGGAATATTTCTTTTCATATGATCCTTTTGTGTGTCTGTGTGTATATCAATATTTATTAATATAAATTAAAACATAGACTTTATTGGCAAAAAGCACAGACTACCGTACTTATATATTTTTTTTCTCATCAACATACAAATTCACTCAATCACACTTATTAATATTGTATGCAATTCATATGTTCATACATTTTTGACATATAAGAATGATTAATGTCCAGGCATATGTATTTGTGATAGAATATCAAAATAATTGGATTCTACATTAATAAAGAAAAAGAATAGGAAAAGAAAATTAATTTCATTTAAAAAATAAAATCTAACCTTGTTCAGGTGTGATAAAACCATGACGAAAAAGGAAATCAAGTACAGCAACAGCACAATTAGGCTTGAAATTATCTTCAATAATAGCTTGTTTTACCTATTGATGTACAAAACAACAAAAAGAAATTAAATTTTGTACAAGGTAGTTACTTGAGGTATTGTCCATAGATAAAAATTTTCCATTTCACTATCGACATTATTTGGTGTAAAAGTAGTTGGTAGTTGAATATCATAAAGAAATTCTCCCTATAATATAAGTAAATAAAATGATCATAGATTCATTGTGGTTTTTTTTTAATGTACTTACTTCAGGATGTATACCATCATCATCTTCATAACAATAACTACATATGAAAGGATAATAAGTCAAAGATTAATATATAAAATATCTATTTATATTGTCTAGATGAAACTATGTGCTAATAGAATTTTACAAGAAGTTTTAAAATAAATCATTGATTGTATTTTCTCACTTCTATAGGTGCGACAAATAACTATCAAAAGAAATATTTGTCTCATTGATTGATAGATTCATTCGACGTTTTATTTGTCTTTAATGTATTGTATAACAATACAATTCAAGGAATGTTTTGTTGTAATAGTTACTATAAACCTTTAGAGAATGTATATTTTTCTTTCTTTCTAAAAGAAAATGGTGTTTCTTTTTTTTCTCGTTAGATTCGTTTACTTCATTGTCTGCTATTTTTAGATAGGCGAGCAATTCGATTGTATACTTATGCAATAGACACTTCAACCTTGATGGTCAATCATAAAGATAAAAATATATGAAATCCTTCGTCTATTGATTACAAACAATAATTCGACCTTTGTATCGTGTTTTTCTGTTTATGGTCTGTATAAACAAAATTTGAACTAATTTTCATGATAAAGTTAACTGTGATTATGTTCATAAATATTTTTCATTGTAAAAATTATTTTAATTGACAATAAAATAGAGAATCATTATTGTTTTACCTTGATAAAAAACGAAATCCTATCAATATTTTTCAATGATTCGAGATTGATTACTCGTTAAACGATATCTGACATATTGATCAACACTTAAATTTAATCGAAAGACAGTCCGTCAGACGAAGATAAATTGATATGAAATGAACTTGACAATGCTCTTGAGACAGAAAAGCACTAAGCGATTCAATGATTAGATTAATCATAACTGATAGGTTTATAATTGAGCTTCGTTGAAAAAGAAATTTTCGTTAGTACTCAATTGAATCTAAGTGAACGAATCTATTTTATGTTTGCAATTTATAGTAGATATTGTAAAAGTTCTTATGATCAAATGATTTTACACAAAGAATAACTAAATATCTGCAAGATTTAAACATTTTCATTGATATTTACGAAATCTGAATGAAATATTCACGAGAAACTAAACGTATTCCGTTTTACTTTTATATTTTTCAAGCTACTGTGACTTTCATATTTTCACCCTTTATCCCTTTTAGGTGTGCGTGAATAGGCGTATTTCCTTCACTCATACTCAACAAGGTTAAAGAACTAAGGAAATTAAAAATATTCTTACAGCTTTAAAAGGAGTATAAGTATAAAAGTAAAACAAGATAAATTTAGTTTCTCATGAAATTATGATTCGAATGTTTATTCAACAAAGAAAAAAAAAACAGATTCCTAATCCAAAGACGTATCATTTCGTGAGAAATCATTGATAACAATTTTGACTATGCTTCCAAGTAAATAAGATATACTTTTTCTAATACATACCTAATGGCTCCAACTGCTTTCAATTTTTTAGTTGCTAATTCTTTAGAAATTTGTGCTTCTTCTTCACATTCTTTTATCATACATTCTGTTGGTGTCAAATCATGACTAAGACCACCTGCAGCCTTAGAAAAATTTATGATAAATATATAAATTGATGTGGATATTTTTTCAAAATGTCTTTCTTACTAAATTATCATACATGCCAGGAAAAGTTTGTTTTGTTTCCGATCGTTTTCCAATCCACATTCGCCATGTTCCATCATCATCAATAACATATCCATTTACATGTGAACCATATTTTCGTATACCAAATATACCTTAAAAATAAATAAATAAATAAATAATTTTCGAATTGATTAAACATAAGAAATTTTTTTTTCGTACTTGCAGCAGATCGTTCAATTTCAAATAATGGTGGATTCTTATAAGCTGATTTTACGAGATACAACTGAATAACAAGAAAAAGAAAAGAAAAGAAAATAATTATATTTTCTTTTTCTATCAAAATAATATTATTAATACATACTTCATCTCGCCAACCTCGTAATGTTTTTAAACAATCTCTTGCACGCATATCATTTAACACTTTAGCAATAGTTTCTGATCGACTTTCATAAGTATTTAAATGATCTGATAATGTAAATCTAAAGAAACAATATTTTTATACATTTTATTGGATTTTCTTTTTTTTTTCATATACCGATCTGAATGTTCAATAAAAACATTTGGATATTGACGAAGTTGATTTGCAGCATCGTCACGAATCCATCCAATATTTTGAGCATTACATAAAAACAATTTACATTTTGATTTACTTGAACCTAACAATAGAATTCTAATTGATGTAAATTCAAGAAGAATATAGACCTGGTTGATGAAATGAATTAACACGTGTAAGAACACGTTGAATACCTAATGACCATACATCAGACATCTGAAAGAAAATAATGGCAAGATTTTTTTGTTGTAGAAAAGAACAAGTCATTTTCTCAAATCATTTAGAAAGTCTTCTGTAATTATTTTCAGCTAAGAAATATAGCTCTAATTCAAATGCAGTACTGTTCAGGCTACAAACTGACATATCTAATAGGAATTGTTCTAAGTTACATACGCCATGATGTCGTTTTAGAAGCGATGACTTGATAGTTATCTTGTTTAGACAAGCAACATGATACTTCTAAACGTAGAAAAATTTCTGTTGAATATGCTATTTTGTAGTTTGAACAGTACTGCTTTTGACTTAAAGCCATATTTCTTAGTTGAAAATAATTACACAAAGTTTTCCTAAATGACTTGAGAAAATCGCTTGACTATTTGTGTTTTTTTTATGGTCTTTTGGGATCCTTTTCTTATTGTTAGAATAGGTTGAAATCCATTGATATTGTAGAATTAAAATATTGTTCTAAAGATTGAGAATGAATTCAGTATAGTTTTAGATTTTGATGAATGTAGAAGGGACATTATATAAAGACATTGACACATAACATTCTTAAATATCTGTTGATTAAGACAGCTGATTGCACAAAGTACAGCAGCCCGATGGCTTATTGGATTCCAGTCGTTTAGTTACCATAGTAATTTCTTCTTCTTCCACTTGATACGTGAACCACGATTCAAGTCAACCACTCATTCTCAGTACCTAAGCATTATTTCGGATCGAAAAAAGATTGCTGAAATCGTATGACTGTGACAACTGCACATCTGCAATTCGTTTTTCGAAATTCGACGATATTCGGGACATATAAATATACAGGCAGCAATAATTAATAACTGATAAGTTTCTTATATGATAATGCATAATTCAATCTTAAAGCGGCCATTCATATCTTAGATGACCAATACACATATACTTCAATTATTGTCTTGTATCACGTTAATTTATCCATGAAGAAGTCTTAAACGTCAATAAGATAGACGATAATACATCAATAAATTGTAATTCCATTAAATGAATTTTTATAAAAAAAGATGCCAAAAAGGTTTTGTATTTGGTTAATAAAATAAACATAACATAAATAAATATTTCTATCTTTACTTATATATATGCAGTAGTAACACTGCTGGGATAATTGCATAAGAATGTCATCAATCGAATAAGTGTATTCAAACTTTCTAGAAGTATATAGATGTGAATTATTGACAAAAATAAAATGAATAGGTTATATTCTATGAGTTGCAACTTATAACTTGATTGATTTATAGTAGTAACCGTTTTACTGACTCTTTTTTCTTTTTGCGCACGCGAACGAGAATAACAACGGAGGTGTATACACTTGCATTCGCAAAAAAAAAAGAAAACCAGTAGATCAGTTACAACTTTTGCTTTAGATACATATAAAGAGTATATTTCAATAACATGTTTTTTTATTCAAATTATAGAATGATCGAGAAGCATAAAAAACATTGAAACAACACTTCTCAAATATATAAATATTTTTTTTACTATATAATCTGTATGTTTTTTTAATTTTAGAGCAAAAAATCTGTCGTGTATTGTATATTACAAATGAGCAAGTTTTCTTTTTTTCTTTTTATTAAAAACTATGCAAATGTCTCTGAATTTATTTCCTGTTATTGATAAGAACGAAAAAAAATAAGAACATATATTTCTTGTAATTCAGACGTATTTTCATTTGTTATTATCTATTGTTTTTTCTTCATTATCATACAACCGTACAGCAAAATTAACCGGGAAAAGTCCAATAGTTCCATCAGATTTTTCAGCATATTCCCAACCATCATCACGTTCATTATCTTCTTCTTTGTAAAAAGAAATAACGTATATATATTCATCTTTAACTAAATTAATTTCATCTTCATTCTCAGCTTCATAATCATGTATAACACGTGCTTCATGTAAAATTTTATAATCTGTTCGTTTTAGTTGTGAAAATGGTATACAATCAGGTTTTTTCTTGTTAGAATCTTCAGTAGG